GCGCAGGCGCCGGCTGTGACGGCTCATGCAGGTCTGACGCGTCCGGCTGACGGGACAGGGTAGATGGCCTCAGGCGGATATAGCTCGGTCGACGGCTCCGGATGTAGCAGATTCACAGACTCAGGATCCTGGTTTGTAACCTGCTTTTTGCTGGCTGATGCAGCTTTTCACCGGCGGATACAAGTCCCAGAGCCGAACGACGGTCAACAAAGAACCTTTTAATGATAGCCGCAAGCCTACATCGATCGCTTTATGATTCAAGTTAAGCGGGTTTAAAGTCGTGGCGCCGTGCGTCGCGTTGTCTTAATGCCTGCGCTATGGGGGCGCGGCCAAGGGAAGACCCGGGTGGTGCGTCCCGCCCTCTCCCGGGCTGGAATTTTATCACAATAGATGGCTCTCGACAGAAAGCAGGAGTAGGCGTGATGCGTACTCGCCGGGTTTCGTTCCCCATCCCCTTAGAAATCCTGACTGCGCCCCTGATACGCCGAACCTGCCATCCAAAACTGCCATAAAACCGCCACAGATAAGCAGAGTATGTCAGCACTGAGCCTCCTCACGCTGCCGGCTGCGGTTTCAGCACCGCACGACACTGTGTGGAGAGAGCCGAAGCTCGCACAGCAAACCTGCGCCCACCAGCCGCCGCCAGTTGCCAGCATCCGACGAGGCCGACTCAGCCGCCACGGACCGACCCGCACGGCCGGCCGCTGCCCTCTCAGCCCGGCAGGTGAGACACGTCCAGCGGGGCTCAGCCCGGCAGGTGAGACACGTCCAGCGGAGCTCAGGCCGGCAGGTGAGACACGTCCAGCGGGGCTCAGCCCGGCAGGTGAGACACGTCCAGCGGAGCTCAGGCCGGCAGGTGAGACACGTCCAACGGGGCTCAGCCCGGCAGGTGAGACACGTCCAACGGAGCTCAGGCCGGCAGGTGAGACACGTTCAGCGGAGCCCAGCCCGGCAGGTGAGACACGTCCAACGGAGCTCAGCCCGGCAGGTGAGACACGTCCAACGGAGCTCAGGCCGGCAGGTGAGACACGTCCAACGGAGCTCAGCCCGGCAGGTGAGACACGTCCAACGGAGCTCAGGCCGGCAGGTGAGACACGTCCAGCGGGGCTCAGCCCGGCAGGTGAGACACGTCCAGCGGGGCTCAGCCCGGCAGGTGAGACACGTCCAACGGAGCTCAGCCCGGCAGGTGAGACACGTCCAGCGGAGCTCAGGCCGGCAGGTGAGACACGTTCAGCGGAGCTCAGCCCGACAGGTGAGACACGTCCAGCGGAGCTCAGGCCGGCAGGTGAGACACGTCCAGCGGAGCTCAGCCCGGCAGGTGAGACACGTTCAGCGGGGCTCAGCCCGGCAGGTGAGACACGTTCAGCGGGGCTCAGCCCGGCAGGTGAGACACGTTCAGCGGAGCTCAGCCCGGCAGGTGAGACACGTCCAGCGGAGCTCAGGCCAGCAGGTGAGACACGTCCAGCGGAGCTCAGCCCGGCAGGTGAGACACGTCCAACGGAGCTCAGGCCGGCAGGTGAGACACGTCCAGCGGGGCTCAGCCCGGCAGGTGAGACACGTCCAACGGAGCCCAGATTTTCTACAGCTGAGGACCGAATTGCATGGTATCATTAAAACGCCACAACCACGAATGTTTTCAGCGTGACAACCATGTTTGTCCATTATGTTAAAATGACATTCGAGTCGCTGTGTGAATGCGCTAATGGATTCACCGTAACGCCATTCACTCGACACAGTCGGCTGTACGTGGAAATCTGGGGCGAAACTGCATTACAAGTCAGACCGGAGGAAAATTCGATACGGATGGTAGACGCAATAGCCAGGATGCTAGATGTGCTGGAAGTGGTGGAACTCGCCCACAACGAAATATCCATATATCTGCGCTTGGTGTTCTCAGTTTTCAGACCCTTGCTGGAAAGACACACGGGGTAGCGGTCCCGATTACTGAATGGCTCGTTTTGGAGGAAAAGCATATGTCTGCGATGGTGCGTGCCGGAAAATGCGACGAACCTCATTATTTCTTTGTCGGTATTTCATTTCTTTATTTCATGTATTATTATCTTCGTTGTTCCCTTTATTTCAGTATTTCTTGATCGATTTCCATTGAATGCATTTGATACAAACATGGCAGGTTTTCAGTAATTCGGGGAGATCATTTGTATTTCGTCAGTGATGTTGACGACCACTTTTCATCACAGCCTTACGCGGGGACAGTCCGTCTCACGTGAACAGGGAAAAGATCGAACGCCTGATTCTGCTGGCAAAGCTCGCTGCCTAAACTTCATCCTTCGAACACACCCGCGTGCATAAAAGGCCATTCATAGCCTCACTTTTGGTGCTCACAAATGTTGTGGTATCAGAACACACACAGCATTGTTTTATATTCCGATGGCTGACATGGGAGACATATTTTTTGTTCAATAAATTCGAGTCATTACGCGTCCTTTAGACTTGGTGGGAGCAATCGGGTTTGGTAAGTAGTTTAACGTCACACCCTTTGGGCCCCAACCGTTTTTTTTGCAATTTTGCATACTTAAAAGCGTAACTGCATCGTTTCTTATCAACGGCATGTCCCGTTTTCTTTATCTGAAACTCAGCAGTTCAAAGGCAAGCGGTGTCTTGCCTCGGCGGAAAAAAAACAATGCACTGTTGTGTTACGTTGGTTTGACTCATGATTCTGCTCCGAAATTTTTGGGTGAGGATAGATTCGAATCACGTGTAGACAAATCGCGTGAAGCACGGTGGTCAATGTCAATTGTGGTGTCGCTGCTCTAACGAATTTGATAAATTGCTCCGAAATTCTGTGTGTAGTGTGTGGGGGGGTGGGGGGGGGGGGGGGGGTTGGCGACATGGCGTTGAGGCCCCTTCATTTTTCCCGTATTTTGCGCCGACTCGTTGCCTTAACGGCTGCCTCTCTCGCAAGTTGTCGATGCATTTTCCCCTGTGTTTCCCCCCTCTCTCTGACGGTACCCTCACAACACCGAACCGCTTCCATTAAAATCCGTCGCCTGCCCCCCAGATGCTGTGCACCACTACGGCTCGTACCTGGCTCAATATGAACTGGACGAGATTGATCAGTACGATCACATCTGGTTCCTCGGGCTCGGCGCCAAGAAGTTGGCCGGGGATCCAGCTCGCCAGCAGAACGCCGGCTACGACGACGAGCACGGCAGCTACATCAAGGTGGCGTGCTGGGCTGTGTCCAGCCGGCGCGATCGCCCCGGGCTCACTATGCCTGGTCTGGCACAGCCGCTCAGCATTCTGTAGAAAAAAAAGCGGCGGCGTCATCCGGACGTAGCTTGCGTGACCGCGGTGCTTAAGGCACCTTTCGTGCCTGCAAAGCCTCTTGACGTTACGGGTGTTATTCACACGCCGTCGTGTTTGAGCTGGCAAGCTTGGGAGCTAGTTTGGTGTTCTGAAGGCCTGGCCGTTTGTGGGACGTGGCTGGTCTGAGTCTGTGTCAGACTATCAGACATCAGACCCGCCACGCATGTGCGTGGCGGGTCTGATGATGATGATGTTCATTACGGCGTGTGCGCACCCTGACTGACTGCTGACTGTGCGGGGCTGTCCGCGCAGGTGCCGCGGGACCACATCGCGTACCGGTACGAGATACTGGAGGTGATCGGTCGCGGCAGCTTCGGGCAGGTGATCCGCACCCTCGACCACAAGACCAACACCCAAGTGGCCATCAAGGTCATCAGGTAAACAGCTGTCAATTGCTCGCATAGATAAAACATTCTGTGAAAGGATTGTGTAATTAAGTTTCAAGGTTTTCTCTTATACGGCATCACTGCCAGGTTGGTGAAAAAAGATGTTGGTGAAACGTGACCAAAGCAGCGGTGTTTTACCGGAGCTTAAATAGCGTGCAGCAAAGAGTATGTGCAAATGCCATTGCCTCACCTTCTCAGAAAAACTTTGACGACATCCGAAACCGAGTCACTTACTCGTGACCTTTTTACCAGCATTGGCATTCACCATCGCACCACTAGACATTGCGATCGGCTCGTGGCGTGAGTGGATTTTATGGTTTGCCGGCAACTATCCGTACAATGGACCTCACGCGTTTGGAGATCGAAGTCAGAAAACTCATGATACGAGGACAGCTAGGCATTGATTAAGTCACTGATTACTCTGCCTATATGACCATGTTGACCGCGTGTGGGCGTTGTGTTGTTCGCAAGCGTTATCAACTCGACCCAAAATTTCATGCATTGACCGAAGCGAAGCTCCGAATTTTTAGGGCTTCTTTTATTTCTAACTCACTTCTTGATGATATTTTTAGAAATAAAGGCACGCAGGAATGACATTGCTTTACGGAAGGCAGTATTCTGGCCTGAGCTCGAAGAATGAGCAATTTATCGATGTGCGAATGGGTTGTTTTGTTTTGCAAATACTACATAAGTGCTTTGATGTTGTCCATTCATGACCGATTCAAATGCTGAGGGTTCGTCATGGACGAGACGCATAGCGCTGAGTCCATACCAAAATTGCAAATAAAATCACAAATAAAATGGCTGGATTCGCCCATGCATTGACTTATCGCCCAATCCAAGTTTTTTTATAGTTTATTTCAGGACTAAAGCGCAGGTATCCAGTCAGGTTGGTGACGCCGGCCTAGACCAAATCGATTCCGTGACATTGTTTGGTTCTCTACTTTGGCGACACCCAAGAGATACCTCTTGACCAAATGCAAACCAAATGTCAGCCAACAAGGCCAACTGTTAGGCTGCTAGAATTTTAAACTCGTGTGTGATATAGATAGATAATCAAACAGGCTTAGAAACGGGAGGGGGTCGCGGGTGTCATGGCGTCCCTACGTTCTGAACATGCCGAACAGAAACCATATGGTGACGTTTGGCAAGATTCGGCACGGAAATGGGCTTCGCTACGCTCACTTTCGCTCCGCCGTCTACGGATCGCCGTACTTTTTGATACACGGTGAAATCTTGGGAAGGATAACTTTCTCAACTTGAAACCTTGACACTTGATATAAAAGAAAAGGACCTTCAGCTTCTGGTTAAACATCATTTAACCAGTACCTCCTGGCATATTCAAAATCAATAACTCAGCATAAGGGCTTTAAAAGCATGGCGGGTTCATATTTTTTGGTGGATGTTTTTCTCAAAAATGCAAAACGCGAAGATGGCGATGAATTAGAGCAAAGCTCTCCAAAGAGAGAAAAATCACCAAATCTGACTTGTCGCCTGTCTAGCAATCATCGATTGCCACACGTAGAAGATCCTTACGGACATGACAAGGGCAGCCAATTTAACCGAACGCAGGCACTACCTATTGATGACAAACATACAATATAAAAGAGGGGCCCATTTGGTCTACAACTACCGGAGGCACAACTACAGCCAGATTGTGAGTTGGGCGCAAAATGGCCCCGATGCCGACACGCCCTTAAACACCAAATCACCACACCACCATTACCGCAATAAGAATAAGTAATATGTTCGCTACATGCTGTACATGTAGGCATCGCCTGATTGTTATGTTATGTGTTGTGTTATGTGTGTTTGAAGGTGGTTATGTATGTACTTCTGTTGTCATGGTAATGGGCAGCATACAAATACGTTTGAGGCCATAAAAATATGTCGAAATGATTTGAACTTAGATGAGACGATTTTTTACGATTTTTACTTTCAAACACTTTGAAAAGCTTCACCTTTGGTTTATGTTTTGCGTTAGAAGTACGTAAACATACGCCCCTGACGCGTTCCACATCCTTTTCACCTATTTGAGTTCCATTAATTGGCCATGTTGCAGTGGAATGGAATGCATATGCTATGCAGACCACCTCTGAAAATCGTGACCTTTGACCTGACACAAGATGCCACTCGCGACCTGCAGGTCAACAAACTAACGTGCCGAGGTCGCTCAGTCCGAGAGCTTCTCTTGCATCTTTCCAGCGTCTTTCGATTCGGCTTACGGTCTGATTAGTCGATATGAGCCTATCGGCAATCGACCCATCAGCCTATCGGCTGATTATTGGCCTATCTGCTGATTATCAGCCCATTGACTGATGGCTCCGAACATATTCTATGGGATCCTATCATATCCTGCAAAAGCAAATACCATGCGGCGAGATAAAAAAGCAACGTTACGAGGACAACTGAGTTCTTTAGCATGCACTTCGCCGCCTCTTCGTATCGCGCAATGCTTATCACTCGTTCAGAACGCTGTTGACGAAACAAATGTACCTACGTAATCCTCCGCATGCCTCGCGGCCACCAGTACCCCTACCCCTGCACCTTTCCTCTAGTGGCGGTATCCAATTTCACGAAATCAGTTTCTGATTGATCTAAAGTTAACTTATCAACGCGCTGTGAATTTAGCTATGTGAAAAATGTGGCCGAACATATTATGGTGGTAAGGTTTTTTTTTATTTCGTTCTCCTTCCATATCACCGAAGCAACGGTTATGGTGATGAAGACACAACTCAATATAAATCATTTTTCCAGAATCACCAGCATGTGTAGTGCTGGTGCGTTCTCATGGTGTTCAACAATCTTGCGATTAACATCACATATGAAAGCGGCAAGCCCTCATTCATCACTGGATAGATTGCTCCAAGTGGTTTGGTCATTATCGGAGTTAATGGGCGCGTTCGGCCGGCAGATAAGCTCGGAAAATTATCCGGAATGTTGAAAAAAATCCGAATGGCGTTCGGCACTGCCGTCACGGAAACTATCCAAGATAATTTTCCGTAGCGAAGGAGAATCGCGGAAAATTTTCAGAGCATGGTTAAGACGGAGAATCTGTTTTTTCTACGCATCGCTATGACCGTTGGCTGTGGATGGTGCATGGGAGACTTACCTGGGGGACACCTTCCGGACCGGCCCACTATTCATGGAGAATCTTTGCGGATGATTATCGGAGAGATAACTATTTGTTGAATAATTTTTCGTTGGCCGAAAGCACCAAATATATTGCACGTTTCTGTTGATTTACTTAGGTGACGGGCGTTCCTTGCTGCTGACATGGCTGCTTGTTTACGCGGACCTCCGCCCCGAAAAAACATGTCAAAAACAGTCGCAAAACACTCTTGGATCACATTTGACGCCGGGGGACAACTTGGGTGAGGCTAGCGCTCAGTTCGAGCGTTCGTTCGACCCAGTGCGATTTCTTCCTCGTGAGGGAAGCTTGCGCGATAGATTTTATCAACACCGCCTCTCAATGTTCACATGCGTGCGTTAACACGGGACATCGAAGTGCAGCAGCTTGACCCGCCGATACATTCCGCAGGAACAAGAAGCGGTTTCACCAGCAGGCCCTGATGGAGGTCACCATCCTGGATCACCTGAGGAGGCGCGACAAAGAGGGCAACTACAACATCATCCACATGCTGGACTATTTTTACTTCCGCAATCATCTCTGCGTCACCTTTCAGCTAATGGGGTGAGGATGTAATTTTAGACATACGTACATGACACCCGCAGGTTAGCTACGCATTGCGCTGCTTACAACCATGGTCACGTGTAAAATGAGTTCGTCCCGTAAATGCGAAAGACAGCATATGCTGGTTTTTACTGTTTGTGGAATCGCGGGACTCACGACATCAATGCAACCGTGTCTATTTGTGAAGCAGCGTGGTGCGCCCACCCACTCGGCCGTCGCAGCTGCTCCAGATCCAGCCAATTACGCCGCCGCTCGATATGTCCCCGGTGTCCGACAAAAAAACGTGGCGTTGCCGACGGCAGCGCCTGGGGCGTCTGCTCCCGTCCCGTCCGCCCGACCTGGAGTACAGCACGGAGCAGTCGTTAACGCGTCTGATGCCAATATGACTCGCCTATTTTAGCCAGATTTAAACTGACCTGACCCGAACTGACTTTTATCCTGACCTGACCCGACGTACCCTGGCGCGCAGGCTAAATCTGTTCGAGCTGATCAAGAAAAACAACTACCAGGGCTTGCCCATGTCGCTGATTCGCAAGCTCGGCACAGTCCATTGTGCAGTGCCTTCGGCTGCTGTGTAAGGAGGGCATCATTCACTGCGACCTCAAGCCGGTAAGATGACGCCGATACCCACCGAAGTTAGTGGTGCTCTGTCTGTGGGCTCAAGAGAGCAGAGTGCGAAAGAATAGCCCTCAACTCGGTACCTGTCATTGGGCTGTCGCTGTTGAGTTTTACACCTCTTATGCAATAGCCTACTGAGTTCGCCCACTGATAAAATTATGTTTGTTGACGTAAAGTCATGGTTGTCAGCCTGATATACTTGAATGTCAGTGTCATGGAATCTCGAATCTTATCTATGTGATATCAAATTTCAGGAGAACGTGCTGCTGAAATCTCGTAGCTCCTCCAGTATCAAGATTATCGACTTCGGCAGCTCGTGCTACACGCACCAGCGTGTCTACACGTACATCCAGTCCCGGTTCTACCGATCGCCAGAGGTCATTCTGGGCGTTCCATACGGAACACCCATAGACATGTGGAGTCTGGGTACGTTTAGACGAGATCAAATCTGAGTCTTAATCTGGGATGAAGTGTTAAGTCTGAGCCATGCTCAGGAGCACGTGTACCTATGCGAGTCATGCACAGTTAGTGTTAGGTCTGGCTAACTCTCTGATCTGCGGATATTTGGAGGCGCTGTAATTGCGGAATGCTTTTGTAGCTGACATCCTCGTTGCGACACACATTGACACCGCGATGCAAGTAATGGGCTGTTTTTCCATGACCTTACATTGCTGGTGATGGATTCTCAGTTGTGCGGTCTTTCGTCCTTAACATCATTATGTGCGTGAGCCTCTTCCCATACCCACTGTCATACTGCGCCACGACTATGAAGCATTGATGTTATGTACCATACCACGAGCTGAGAGGAACAGGTGACCTGAACGTCCCTGACAGCCGGACGAAAGTGGTGTCCGACATAATCATTCACGTCCCTCCCATCCCAGGAAGGCGGCTTTTGTGTCACATGTCACCATTCCCGAATAGCGAACATCAGTTGAGTAGTAAAGTGGCGCGTGGGTCACGCCAGCACGTTGGAGATGCCCTGGCAGAACAGGATGCAATGTCCGGGAGTTATTGATCCCAGCATGTAGCCAAGCAAAACGGACCCAGGTGGCGAGTGACCGTGTAAGGCTGCCATCCCTCATCCGGCTGGTCACCTGGCGACGATGACCGGCCCCGTATCCGGCCCGTGATACACGACAGCCACTCTGGCCTGGCCTGGCCTGGCCTGGCCTGCCCCGCTCGTCTCTCTCTCCCTCTCTCTCTCTCTCTCTCTCTCTCTCTCTCTCTCTCTCTCTCTCTCTCTCTCTCTCTCTCTCTCTCTCTCTCTTCTCTCTCTCTCTCTCTCTCTATCTCTCTCGCTCTCTCTCTGCTCTCTCTCCTCTCTCTCTTCTCTCTCTCTCTCTCTCTATCTCTCTCTCTGCTCTCTATCTCTCTCTCTCCTCTCCTCTCTCTCTTCTCTCTCTCTCTCTCTCTCTCTCCTTCATATCTCTCTCTCTCTCTCTCTCTCTCTCTCCTTCTCTCTCTCTCTCTCTCTCTCTCGCTCTCTCTCTCCTCTCTCTCTCTCTCTCTCTCTCTTCTCTCTCTCTCTCTCTTCTCTCCTCTATCTCTCTCTCTCTATCTCTCTCCTCTCTCTCTCTCTATCTCTATCTCTCTCTCTTCTCTCTCTCTCTCTCTCTCTCTCTCTCTCTCTCTCTCTCTCTCTCCCGAGACCGACCTTCATTAACCTGTTCCCACTGTGTCCGCCCTCTGTCGGCTCCTCCCCTGTTCGCAGTCCCCAGGGTTACCAGCTGTGATGACATGCCGTTCAGACGAAGTTGGAGGCGCCGTCTGCCCCCGCCGTCCGGTCTGTCTGGTCTCAATGACGAAACATGGCTATGTGCTCGGGGATTCCAGCAACATCGGCATCGACGTCCGTGTCTCGCGGGTGGGAGGCGTGACGTCACCGACGCTTAACGCTCCTAGTTGGCCGTGCTCCTCGATGCCATGGTATCCTGACACAATTCGTGTAAAAGTTAACCGAGATTAACAATGGCAGCTCCGTGCGTCATGAAACATGCCAGTTGTTATCAGGCCAGTGCTGCGCGCGTGGAGCCGGGCTGGCGGGCGTCGATTTATCCCGTTCACCACCTGGTCACCGCCTGTCACCCCCTGCCACCACCTGGTCACCACCTGGTCATCACCTGGTCACCACCTGTCACCACCTGGTCATCACCTGTCACCACCTGTCACCACCTGCCACCATCTGTCACCACCTGGTCACCACCCGGTCACCACCTGGTCACCACCTGGTCACAACCTGTCACCACCTGTCACCACCTGGTCACCACCTGTCACCACCTGGTCACCACCTGTCACGTGGTCCAGTCAGCCCTGACCCCTAGCCCTTCAGTGACGTGGCAATGACCTGGGGGGACCTGTACGCAGGGGCTTCATTCTAGTCGAGCTCAACACTGTGATCCAGTGAGCCCTGCCCCCGAGCCCTCCGGTGACGTGATGGTGACCTCGCGGAGTCCTGTCCACAGGCTGTATCCTAGCCGAGCTCAACACTGTGATCCAGTGAGCCCTGCCCCCGAGCCCTCCGGTGACGTGATGGTGACCTCGCGGAGTCCTGTCCACAGGCTGTATCCTAGCCGAGCTCAACACTGTGATCCAGTGAGCCCTGCCCCGAGCCCTCCGGTGACGTGATGGTGACCTCGCGGAGTCCTGTCCACAGGCTGTATCCTAGCCGAGCTCAACACTGTGATCCAGTGAGCCCTGCCCCCGAGCCCTCCGGTGACGTGATGGTGACCTCGCGGAGTCCTGTCCACAGGCTGTATCCTAGCCGAGCTCAACAGTGTGATCCAGTGAGCCCTGCCCCCGAGCCCTCCGATGAGGTGATGGTGACCTCACGGAGTCCTGTCCACAGGCTGTATCCTAGCCGAACTCAACACTGTGATCCAGTGAGCCCTGCCCCCGAGCCCTCCGGTGACGTGATGGTGACCTCACGGAGTCCTGCCCACAGGCTGTATCCTAGCCGAGCTCAACACTGTGATCCAGTGAGCCCTACCCCCGAGCCCTCCGGTGACGTGATGGTGACCTCGCCGAGTCCCGTCCTCCACAGGCTGTATCCTAGCCGAGCTCAACACCGGCTTCCCGTTGTTCCCGGGCGAAAACGAGGTGGAACAGCTGGCTTGCATAATGGAAGTGCTGGACGTGCCGCCAGAGCAGCTGGTCCGGCACGCCTCCCGCCGCCGCCTCTTCTTCGGTGAGTCAGCCGCTGCTGAACTATCGCTATCAGTGAGCAGGCTTTGCTATCACGGCGTGTTTTCACGTAAACCGCTTGAACAGCATGGAAATGTGTAAAATGGGCGCCGCATGCCTCTTAAACCGTTCCGCCCCCCCCCCCCCCCCCCCCCTTTGCGTTCTCCGGGTCTGCGGGCGCCGCAGTCCAGCGGACCGGGCCGGGCCCAACGCCGGCACTGGCCGTGGACCAGGCGATCCCGGCGTCGGGCCTGGCCCAACCCTACGATAGTCAGCTGAACACAGACGCCCTTTACGGCTGCGGACGGATCACAGAATCGACCCGGCCGGCAGGCACGCAACGCGCTTCATGCGGTCGTGAGGCGGCCCGTCATCACGGCGACGCCACCCGTTGTCGATGCTGATACGTCCCTGCTTTGAGCCGTTGTCTGCGTCGTAGCTCAGGGCAGCCTCGAATGCCCGCTGCAGGGTCAAGCCCATCGACGCCTGTATTGTGTTTGGAAGTGGTTAGGCTTACGTTGGCTCAGGTTGTCAAAGGACCAGAAGGCTTTCACTTCACTTCAAGCATTTTGGAGAGTGGCGGTAGGCATGGGCAGAGGCGAAGAGACATAGGCGAGGACATAGAGAAGTGCGGCGTGGAGAGGTGCGTAAACACTTGGCAAAGATAAAGGGGGTTGCGGCAAGAACTGCGGCGAACGAGCAAGATAAGCAGTTGCGCATCTCAAAATAACTCGCGGTTGTAAAGAACACTTATAAGTCCCCCCTCCTCCTGGCAAAAATTCATTGATAAGAGGTCTGAGCATGGATGGCAGTTATACATAGTGCCTTTGTAGCAGTTGCAAATGATGCAAGATGCGATGTACTGCGAGGCTCGGACCCCAACGTGTATTTGCGATGCGCGGCCTCCTCGCTCCACGTGTGAGCCAATGGCCAGCTGTGACGAGAGTGTCTGGCTGGCAGACTCGAGGGGCACGCCTCGCACGCTGACTAACACTAAGGGCCGCCGCCGGAGGCCCGGCTCCAAACCCCTCACCGTCGCCCTCAACACGTCCGACACGATGTTCGCCAACTTCGTCGAGAAGTGCCTAACGTGAGTACGAGCCATTAACTTGCGACCGCCGGGGTTGAAAGTGTGCTCCTTCATGTTTCAGAAACGAATTGGGAACAGTGGTAGGTAGACCCACCACGTTTGGAGTGAGGGAAGACTTGCATAATTTTGCCTCCATGCGCAGTAAACCTCTTCTTTGTTGTCAATCATTTTCATGAAAGTGCGTAACGACACATTCGCACAGATCACGTCAATGTTGAATGTAAACCGTAAGATAGATGCGATGAATGGATTTCACCTCAACCTGGTGCGACCTTAATTAGCCATGACCCTAATCTGACATGGCCTTGACCTAGCATGACATTAACCTGGAATGATCTTAATCGGACCTGGCCTTGGACCCTGATCTTTATTGACACGATGGTATGATTCTGAAACACAACGCTTGTCCTTTCGTTTGGTGTCAAATGCACGTCAAGTCTAAGACTAACATTACACACGCTAGAAGGCCCCAAATTCTTTCAAAATTTAGGTGATGTGGTAATTTTGTAGATGTTTTGCGCGAGCTCAGACGTCATCAATCGCGTGACCGTAGTCGTGTCATTGATTCCGGGGCGATATTGACCAGGGCTGTGGATTCTCGTCTGAATGACCCCGATCCGATGATTGAATCCCTAGACACTTGGAGTACTTTTAACCGTGACGGACGATGGTGGATAAAGGAATATCCCCAGCAGCGCGGGGTCAAAACCTGTGTTCGTGGGCAAGAACTGTCGGAAGAGATTTTATGGAAGTACAAGTTGCCACCGAGTCTGGCCTATAGTGTAAACCGTGTCGCTCATGTCTCGCTGGATTGTAAGCTTCTCAGATCAGTACAGCCGCCGCGGACGGTCCTGCGCGACTTGAGGCCGTCGAGAAATTACTCGCGACATTAAATCGCAGTGAACCACCGAGATGTGTTCAGGGAAGTACGAGCCGTTGTGAGAGCACCCCATGCAGTATCAAGTTTTCTTGTGTCTTAAGCTCCTGCGTCGATGCGCCAGGGTCACCGCCGTTCGCCACCAGTGCCTCCTTGACCAGCCGCGCCGCGTGCGACCGTCCGAACCGGGGCCTCTTCCCGGCACCGTCAGCACAACTCCCCAGGGTGTACTGCACAGATCGCCACTCGTCTTCGCACGACGCTCTGGGGCGCGATCGATTACGCTCATTTCGGGCATGCGCTGTCCCTCTCCCACGCGCAACTCCGAATGCCGCCCGGCGTAGGGAAGCAGCCGTGTGCATACTGGCATGCCGCTTTTTTGGGGTTCAACTGTTAGAGATTGTTACTGCTTTCCGGGACACGTTCCTGGAAGGCCAATTTTACAAGGTTGGCGAGCGGGGTAAGGGTCAGGTGTGACACCCTGCTGGTTTCGCTAGCGCTGCAAGGGCGGTCGGAGTGAAAGTTAGCGGCAGCCAGGCTAACATGCGGAAGGGCAACGCGCTCTCGACTATACACGTCTAATGCAAAAGGGCAGCGCGTTCTCGGTATCCACATCCATTGCAGACGGGCAAAGCGCTCCCGACATCTACGTCCAATTCAGAAGGGCAACGCGCTCTCGACATCCACGTCCAATGCAGAAGGGCAAAGCACTCTCGGCATCCATGTCCAATGCAGACGGGCAACGCCCGTCTCGACATACACGTCCAATGCAGAAGAGCAACGCGCTCTTGCCATCCACGTCCAATGCAGAAGAGCAACGCGCTCTCGACATCCACGTCCAATCGTCGCAGTCGTCTTTATTTATGCGTCTTCATATGCAATGTATGCATGAGCGCATTCACACGTAAGTGCAATGCATACATGAACGTGAGAAACGAATTACAAGGAGATGAAAACAGACATAAAGACCACTTTAGTTGCTGTATGTTCTGGATGGAGCCTTCCATGATCTTCGTTTTCATTCAGAGCGTCATGTTTTATCCTCCAGCGGCTGCAAAACTGGGAGGCATGCTATTACGTCCCAACGTGTTACCGTTACCTTATGCTTTACCTGGCACCTTTCGTCGCCATGTGGCTGATTTAACCACTCGGACCTTTCCTTGCCATATGAGCCGTGTCTCGGCCGGGTGTCCCCGTAACAGACGCCCTCTGTACGCAGCTGGGACCCGTCTCGGCGGATGACGCCTGAGGAGGCGGCGCGCCATCCGTTCCTGAGCAGCGGCCGGCGCGGTCCGCCGCCACCTCCGCCGCCGCCGCCCAGCTGGAGAGACGAGCCGTGCGCTGCTGGCTGGCGGGGCGGCGCCGCTGAGCCCCACACGCCCGACGCCGGCTGCCGGCCCGGCGCCCAGCGCCTGCTGCGGGCCGACCTGGCGTCGCCGCCCGACCCCGGCCAGCCGGCGTGCGCCGCCTGCCTGCCGCCCATACACTAGGTGGCCGCCGCGTGGCCGGGGTGCGGACGTGCCCGGACGTACCCTGGTGGGTTGGCCTGAGGAGAACGCTGGTGACGAGCTGTTCTGTTGTCTGTTGAGAGTATCGTGGGTGATGTGAGCTGGCTGGAGGGTGGGTCTACAGTCTTGCAGCACGCGGAGGTCGCAGGCTGCAATATACGCAATTAAGTATATGTGGAGGCTCCGCCTACTGACGATGAACCAAAGATCAAACCAAAGTTGAGTATAAAGGGACATTGAGTGTCAGAGAGGTTTTGCAGACCAATAAACCCGTCACTCTTGTCTCTTGATGGTCTTCTCTGTAACTCAGGCAATGACTTCAATGGGTGCGCTGTTGAACTTGTTCAGAGGAAACAAGTAAGCTGTTTCTAACATCTTGCACAAGTTTGAACAATGAAAGACAGAGATATCGTGTTTTGAAGAAAATAGGCAGACACAAAGCAAATCAATCTGAACGCATTGTCCACGAGCCACTGCCCAATTTGTGCGGTGACATACAGCAGAAATCAAGGACGATCGAAGTCCTCTTAATTGCTTGTGGGCTAGGAGGATGGGGCTGGTACCTCTTTCTGATCAGTTTCTTCCAGTCAACGTCCATAGCGCCGGTTTTAAATCCTCGGAGAGGCGGGAATTCGGCGTCCCTGGGCTCCAAGTTACAATGCACCTGGCTCAAGTGCACGGATTATCATCCAACATCATTTGCAGAATAAGTCATGCCTTCTGGTCTATTGTACTGGGAAAGGGATATATGAACCATAGCATAAACAAAAGTGACAGAAAACGATAGCATGTCTACTCCTGAATCGCTTCAGCAAAACATTTTTAGGTTGGCTATGGTTGAAAAAGCTCAACATAGCATTTTGAATGCTTTAACTCACGTAGTACATTGTGAACTATTTTCCAACAGTCCTTGGAGCAGAAATCGACTTAGACCTAAATGAGCCAATGATTGCGGGTCCTATTTCGGACAGGCTTCCCGATGCCCTTAGTCCAGTAACCGACGAGATGATTTCGGACTCCTTAAATATCGAGAACGACGTGGTTGATCTGAAAAAAACAAATAGCGATTGATTTTCTCGACAGCACCTATATTTTCAAGAAGGCAAACATTACGTTCTTAAGAAATTTGTAATAGGAGGGTACTAGAGGGGGGTGGCACAAAATATATACTTGATTTAACACTGTTTTCACGGTTATCTTCGATTTTCGCACAACCGCCAGTAAATCGATAGCTTTCCACGCAGATAAATATATAGATAACGATTTGGACGTTCATATATGACGTTGATCAAAGGCGTAAGAGCGTTTCAAGAGGTGGAGGGACAGGCTCAGGGCATAATGCAGGAACTTTTTCTAGGAAGCAAGCCCAGTGGCCGGAAGGGGGGAGTAGAGATGGAGGTTATTCTCGGCTCTTAATTCATGTAACATATTTTTGACGCACTCCAGTGTCATCGCTGCTAAGCAAGATATGCATCAAGAGACAGGGTAGGTGCCAAAATGCGGCCTGGACAATAGCTGTCGAGCCCAGAGCCACAGTAGCTGTCAAACGTCAAGGCGGTGTTAATGAGATTGTTAACGTTACGATCTGCACTGACAGCGGTCTCACCCGGTACGAACAATCGGCGTCGCCGCCACCCACCACGTACGGAACCGTGTCAGAATCCCTGCTCTCGGCACACTTGCCAGCGCTGAGAACGCTTGGTCCCGGATCAGGCTCCAGTTCAGCGCTAGCAGCCGGCGCGGGAGCAGCAGCGGCAGGGGAAGTGACTCAGGTTCAGCCACGACGCCCCTGGAGATATCTAGCAATCCTCTGCACTTCGTGAACCTCCGTAGTCACAAACGTAGCCCGGTCGTACTGTCTCACGGTAAGCTTCCGGTACCTGCACTGGTCTTTCAAGAAGGTAACCTCCTCTTGCTGCACTCTGTAGGCAATTAGGCATTGGGAGCTGCGCTGGGACTCGCACTTGCATTTCGTAGTATCGAGAAGCTTGCTGAATTTCGCGGTGGCGGTGCTGTCAGATCCCTCTTTTTCTTTCTTTGATTTCTTGCTGGTGGTCGGTATCGATCAAACCAATCCCTCTCGATCACTTTTGTCACGCATTTTAGACCATGAACAGGGCCCATTCGCTGGTGCGCAGCTCCCTGACTTCTAGCATCACAGCTTTGAAGACGGTTTTAGTGAGATTCCTCTTCGATTCGCTCAGCCGCCTGATGTAGCGCTTGGTGCACATTCGGCGAGTTCGGCGGGGGGAACTCAAGGATTAGGGGACGTGGGCGGAAAGGGAAGAAGAAGGAGGGGAGAAAGGAAAAAAGGTGGCGTAGGTGACAGGGCTACCCCCCAAACACCAAATTGATATACGTTCCAGTCCACGAAGTTATCTGCATCACCTTGCTTTTGCTGTTTGAAAACGCGCGTTTGACTGGCAGGTATCGGACCCTGTCGCGCCCGGCGATTTCAGCTGAGTTCCCCGGCACAGGCTACTAACTGAAGTCGAGTTTGTAGGGGCGGACTTTGTAGTTGCTGACGGCGGCAGGCATATGATACTGCGCCGGCAACAGAGAAACTCTACCGCAGGGTGAGTCTTCGGCGACACAGTCCTATGCGAGACGATGCTGGCCGTCCCGCCCTTCGACAATTGCAGTGAACGCTCTTCCCGTTACAGGAGTTGCATATACGACCACACAGCCCTGCACACGATTCATTTACAGGATAAACATTTAGTCATAGCTCCCAACGCAGTTGTAACTGAAGTCGACCTGGCGTTATGGCATGACTTTGGTCTAGACTGATCTTAGTGACCGGACGAAATCTTGATATTACGTTTAAACTGTTATGTAGAAGGTATGCCGCCCTCATTATCGACATGATGGCAGCGCTTCGCAAATTGTAAAGTGCATTTGTGAGGAACATTATGCGTATAGATAAAACAACATTAATCACTTTATTTATCAAAGAAGAGAGAGGAAAATGGAAAGATAAATGTGATATTTCGGCTACATGCGTTTATCGAAAAGAATAACAAATTCAAATTTCTCTGCCGATTTTAGTCGACGTTTCAGTTTTTCCTAAAAAAACAGCTAGCCAAAGCTTTTACAGACCACCAACATGCAGGGGATTAAACAAGGAGCAATTGCCAGTCATTTCTGCGATACAGTGGGCATCTAACTGAGAATTAAAATGCGCGAAAAATGCCTGTATATGCAAATGAATTCAAGTTAACAGGCGTCACTCATAACACATCATTTACTTCTGCAAACGATTTCAAGTTAACAGGCACGTCGCATCACGCATCACTTTTACACGTAAACGATTTCAATTAAACAGACATGGTGTATCAAGCATCAGACAACACTGATACATGATGGCGATTTTAAGCCAGCATGCATAACACATCAAGACACTAGTCACATTCAAATAATCGTTCATGACGAGTCCTGTACACTGAAGTCTGGTCGCCAACTTCTTATAAAAACAGATTCACCATTTTTCCTGTCTGGATGGTCCCGTACTTTGAAGATACCTTTGAGCTCTAAAGAGAAATGGTCCTTACTTCCTTGGATTTTAACCTTAGCGTGTTCTGTCAGAAAGATGGTCGCGGAAGGGTTCTTTTTATTATCTGCTTTCGTTTTGAGCATCTCGCAGGTGTTCATCACAAATGAAACGAGTAGGACGCATGGACTGCTTAACATAGCCCATGTACTTCCCATGTTTTTTGCGCAGTTTACGCTTGAATTCGTAAACCATATTTCTTCACGTGCAAACCCCTTAAAACTCAGGCATGCATATATGACGCCCATCGCACCACGAGCACTTATGCTTCGAGACGATATATTTAACTAGATAGTTATTTAGCTCCTTATCGAGTGTGCCCGAGGAGGTAACAGATGGGGGCGGGGGGCGACATGGGCGCGTGGCCAGTTCCCGAACAGGTTATTACATCGGGCCCCCGTCAAGAGCCCAGGGACCTCCATTCAAATGGAAAGTCCTCAAGACCCAATAAAGAGGGGCCCCGAAAGATAAAGTGTGTCCCAGCGTCTTAACAGATAGGGCTTCTAACAAGAGCGTAGGGCCCTCCATTCAAATAGAAACCACTGAATACCCAATGCAGATAGCCCCCGAACGATGAAATGCACCTCAACAGCTTATCAGGAGAGGCCCGAAAAGAGTGTTATGCCCTCCATTCAAATAAGAAGTATCCAAACCCTGTGCAGAGGGCCCTCTTAATATGGAGTGTACCCTAGCAGATTACCAGACGGCCCCAGACAGGAGTGCAGCGCCCTAAATTCAAAGGTGGTGAACAGATGGGGCCGCCGACAAGAGTGCAGGGCCATCCATTCAAATGTGAAATACCCACGGCACGATGTAGAGGGCTCCGAATGATCGAGGGTGCCCGAGAATGTTAACAGATAGGGCCCCGTGAAGACCTCCACTCAAAAAGCAAGTACCCAAGACCCGACGTAGAAGTCATCCAACAATCGGATGCACCGGAGCAGCTTATCAGAAGGGGCCGCAACAAGAGCATAGAGCGTAGGTCCCTCCATTGAAGTAACAAGTGCCCAAAACCCAGTGCGGAGGGCCCCCGAAAGATGGAATGTACCCAAGCAGGTTATCAGATGGCCCCGATATGAGCGCAGGGCCCTAAATTCGAACGCCAAGACTCAATGTGCAGGGCTCCCGGACAATCCACTTTGGCCAAAGCAGTTAACAGAGGGGACCCCAGACAAGTGCGTAGGGCCTCCATTCAAATAGGGCTTCCCCAAGGCCCAATGTAGAGGGCCCCCGTAAGATCGAGTGTATCCGAGCAGGCTATCAGATGGCATTGACAAGAGCGTAGGTCCCTACATTAAAATACCCAATGTGCCGGGCCCCTTAACAATTCAGTGTGCCGGAGCAGGTTAACAGATGGGGCCCTGACAAGTGTGCAGGGCCCTCCATTCAAATGGAAAGCACCCTGGACCCAGTTTCGAGGGCCCCGACCGACAGAGTGTGCATAAGCAGGTTTACAGATGAGCCCCCGACAAGAGCATAGGGCCCTAAGCAAGTGACATAAAATTGGAAGCGCCCTAGACCAATGCAGAGGGCCCATGAGCATATCGCAAGTGTGTCGGTAGGTGAAACGAAACCAACGTAAAGGGCCCCCGAGCCACCGAGAATACCCGAGCAAGTTAACATGGGGTCCCCTGCTATAGCCCACAGAGGCTCTCTGGCGGCTGGAAAGAATCCGTGGAAGGCCCCTGATTGACAAGAGCGCCTCGGCACGCTAGCAGGAAGAGCACAGAAACCGTGCAGGCCCCTCCGAGCAAACGCAAAACGGTC